CCCACACCAGTGCTGCCCACAGGGAGCCGGTGCCCTGGCAGTACCTTGTGTCTCCAACCAGCCCTGCAGAGCCCCAGGAATAGCCAGAGTGAGCTGCTCTCCCTGCGGCCTGTGCCACCACCCCAGGGGATGGGCACGCTGATGTCCACTGCTGCTGGTCTCTGCTGCAGCAAAAGCCTGGTGGGAGAAAGGCCTCAGGGACCAGCCTCACCCCATGGCCCGAGCTCTGCCTGACCTGGGTTCTGGTTTCTCCCCCACCATGTGCTCACCCTCACTGCTGCACAGGGATGGAGGGGGCTCACAGTGGCTGCACAGAGCAAACTGTACCAGGGACAGGAGCCCGAGGGTCACGCTGCCCTTAAGACACTGCCCTGGAGACATTTTGCATGGGGCACTGCCAGCAAGTCCTTCTGAATAGGTCAAAGTAACTGGAGATGCTCCCAGCTCCTCATGCTTTACACCGGCTCTTATCCCAGCAGAAAGCACCCACTGCACCACAAACCCAGCATGGAGGATACAGTGCCCTGTGCCAGTCCCTGAGCAGCACCCGCTGCAGCCCCAACCACCTGCAGCGTACATTGACAAGGCAATTCTGCAGGTGCGGAGCCACCAGCTCACCCTGCCCTGCACAAGGGTGCTCACCTCCAGAAGACAGGCCCTGGGCCCACGGGGCCGTGCAGCGTGTGGCAGGAACGCAGGGACAGTGGCTGTGCAGGCAGAGCGGGGGCAGGGAGGGATGGTCCACCAGGGCTTAACAACCTGTGGGTACAAAAGGTGCCCCTGAGCAGGACTCACACAGTACATGAGAACCGGCCTTTAGCACTGGGGGTTCCACTGCTGCTGGCCTGGCCATGCAGGGAGGGCATAGCACAGCCTGGGTGCTGCTGGAGCATGGAGGATGCAGAGCCCCGGTGCATTGCTCCCACTCGGCTGCTACAGTGCAGCCTGGAGCCATCCCACCTCCCTGCAGGGACCGACCACTCACACCCTCCCTGCCAGGAGGCCTGCCCTGCTCCTCACCGCTGGAGCCAGCCCTGAGCCTGCCTGCACATTACTTCTACTTACATCCTGCTTGCAGCATCCCATCCTCCACCCGCTGCAGGGACAAGCACACATCAGGCAGCAGAAGTCCTCGTAGGACCTGCCGCTTTCCCTGTCCTACCGATAGGAGGCTGGGGAGAGAGGTGCAGGGAGATGGGGCCATCCTGCAGCACAGGAACAGGGACAGAGGCACTGGGTACAGCAAACCCCTCCTCCAAGGCTTGAGCAGATGCTGCCCAACTCTTGCTGACCCAAGGTTTCGGAACTGGACAAGGCAGAAAGCCCAGTGCAGGAGAGCAGCCGGGTGAACCAGCTGCAAGAAGGACAGGGACTGAGGGGTGGCAGAAACACAAACCGGGCACATGGCTGGGCTGTGGCTGCCCCATAGGAAAGGGTTGGCTGCTCCTCCACCAGCATGGAACTGAAGTGATGCTGGGCAGGGGACCGAGCATGGGCTCACCCTCCTGCTCAGAAATACAGCTCTGCCACTGCTGGCTCTGCACAGCTCTGCTGCCCAAGGCCCAGCAGCGCGGAGCAGGCAGCGGCACTGACGCAGGGGCACAGACAGACTTGCTCCACCAGCGACTCCACCACCAGCCATATCCCTCGCTGGGGCCTCCCAGTCACACACCGCCTGGCAGGAACACGCGCTATGGAGGGACAGACAGACGGCATCTACGCTTCCGGATGAACAAACATGATCTGTGGAGAGCAGGTTGTAAATAAGGGGGTTTTATTAGTGGAAGAAAAAAGCCCTCACCCTTGAGGGGACTTCAGAAAGTCATCTGCTTGCCGTTGCCACCAGCTTCCCAGATCCTGGTCAGCAAAACCACCGGCACAGCCCTCCCCGGCTCGAGGACTTACGGGCCCAGACCCACCAAAGCAAAGAGCAAGACCTGGCGCTAACGGGAACAGTATCCAGCCTCTCCGTGGCTCTTGACAGCTGAAGTAGAGATTAAAGAGCGATGATGTGCCAATAGCAGAGATCTGGGTCAGAGATCATCAACATCAGCCCCACCACCCATGTGCCAAAATCCATCCCTTGGAAATGAGGAGGGGAGCATGGAGGAGGGAAAAATGCATAAACTGGAATGTTCAACAGAAAAAAAAAATCATCATTTATCTAAAAAGAAATAAACAAAATGCTTTTAAACAAAATCACAAAATATACAAATAAATCTGGTACAAAATAAATAGGAAAGATTGGAAATCTACAACAAAATTGGAATAATTATAAAATTCATTGTATGACAATCAGTATATGAAACGTATACACTTCATTCAGGAGTTCAGTTGTGCTTATTCAGGTTTATGTACACACATGGAAATACTGTAGTCAGAACACTACAACTCTGGCAACCCCAAGTCATGTACAATATGATACAACTCGCAAAGACCATGGACGATGGTGAACAGGACACAGGGAAGAGCCACTGGCGTGAATGGAGAGCAGGAGGACCACAGCAGCCATGGGGAAGGACCCGGCCGCAGAATCATGGTTTGGTGTGAGGGCTCCAGCCACTCATGGCTTTTGGGAACACTTCTCAAGTATCTGGGTTCTCTGATTCAGTGTTTGGCATCCGGGCGCCTGCCCCAGAATCCAGGTGTCGAGCCTGGTTCTGCAGCTGCACAAAGCACATGCCAAGGGCTCTGAGTCCCTCAGCAGGGCCTGGCCCTGAACTGCTCATAAGCCACCCCTGTGCTCAGGACAGCATGGATCGAATGGGACCGGAGCACTGGTGCTGGGGTCCCGCAGGGTTTGCACTCTCAATTTCAGACAGTGAGGAAGGCAGAGTCCCTTGAGCAGCACCTCCCACCCTTACTGTGAGCAATGAAGACAGGACGGCCACAGCATCGCCTGTTCCTGACTGCTGCACCTCCTCCTCTCGCCTTCCTGATCACTTCCAAGCAAACCACAGCGAGAAGAGCAGAGGAAGGGCCATTGCTGATGCCACAGCAGCAGCCACGGTGCTGAATCCAAGCCAGCACAGTGCGGAAGGACAGACCACGTACCCTGGGTAAAACCCCGCCGGCCAAACCAGCCCAGCCTGGCCTGCTGGGACCTGAGACTTTAAAACAGGCAGGACGCTAGAGCTGATCTAGGCCCAGCCATTCTGTCACTCCTGTGAATAGAGGAGCTCACCAGGAGCTCCCTCC